GCAGTGTGTTTAGCTGCAAGAAAATATGAAGTTGCAGGCTTTTGCATTGATTTACTAGTTTGAAAGCTAACCAACTAAATTATCCTACCATATTTAAGTTCAGGGCAATTTTTTGCTATTACACTGACAACATGGCAATATTTTGGGCATGGAATCTCTGTCCACCCTTTTTTTTTTTTTTCTCCTCTCTCTGAAACCTTGAAGCAAAAACTCTCTCTACTTGCCATCAAGGAAAGATTATGGCCCACTGTGCTGTTTATCTTCATGACAAGAATTGCATGCTAGAAAGACAAAAAAAAAAAAAAAAAGTGGTTTATAAACGTTTTGGGCCTGGAAATGCAGTGCAATAAGTTTTGAGGGCTCAGCTGGTAGTGAGGACACTGAATCCTGCTTGTGTAACACACCTAGTTTGAGAAAAGGAAAGCTGAGGAATAAGAAAGTCAGGTGAAGACACCTTTGCCTGTTGTAGCTGTGTCTGTCTGAAACAAAGGGGAAGAGAAACAAAGCTCAAAGTTCCTGGCTCTTTTCTGTGAACAAGTCTGTAAGCTTCCCATCCAGTGGAGAGATTGCTTTGGACTTCAGTAATAGCTTTTTTTCTGCATCTTGAGGGAAAAGGGAACAGACCTTGTCCTTCCAGAAAATAAGGATTTGCCAGTCCCCAGGAAGAATGGTAACTATTTTGTGGTTGCTAATAATCTGGAAGTATGTTATAATGTAATCTAGCCATTTGATTTCAAATGCCACAAGTGTTCTAAGAATTAGTTGTCACGCTTTTTTTATATAGAGGAAAAAAAAAGACATGGGAATCTGTAGTAAGTTTGCAATACTTTAGTTTCATCTTCATACCTGGAAATTCAATACATTCCAAGTCCTGAAGGGTGGCATGTGGCATGAGATGGAAATTTTGTCAGTAATTGATACATATCCTTGTTCATTTTTTTGCCCCCCGCCCCCGCCAGTCTGCCCAAATCCCTTGTTTGTTTGTTCTGGTAGCTGTTTTATAAATCTACTTGCATATCTTGGAAGACAACAAAAGAGTTGTGAACAGAATCTTAAGTACCCGCTTCCAGAACAGTCCCGAGATTAGAGTTGGTTAGCTTTGTTTTTAGAGGTCGGAAAGCAGCTTTCCTTATGCAGCTAGCAAATAGAGCATCAGTTTGATATTACTGCTAGACTTTTTTTGATACACAAATTGAAAAAAAAAATTAATGCCACTTTGGTGGGTTTCTCATTTCTTAAGGAAATTCTGCACTCTATCTGTTTGAATGCTACGATACCAGGACAGAAAGCTGGCACACCAAGCCCAGCATGCTGACGCAGCGGTGCAGTCATGGCATGGTAGAGGCAAATGGCCTCATTTATGTATGTGGAGGAAGCCTGGGGAACAACGTTTCTGGAAGAGTCTTAAATTCCTGTGAAGTGTATGATCCAGCCACAGAAACGTAAGCATCAATTCCAGTACTTGTCACTGTGGTTTTGTTCCCTCTTTAAATACCTGCAGTATACAATTTTTTTTTTGTTCATCTATAAAATAAGGAATTTTCCTGGGTTAACTACTAACAAATAGGATATTTGTGGTTTTACTTCAAAGACTGTTTTTCTTAAGCTTTTTTTTTCCCCCAATATTTCACTTTCCAAGTTCTAGGATGAGCTTGTTTTTATTTTCTAAGAACTCAGTTGTGGGTTGCATAGTTCTAGATGAGCTTATTGTTTTTCCTAAGGGGGGAAAAAAAATCTATGTCATTTTGTGTTGAGGGTTTTTGTTGTTGCTTTTGTTCTTTTTCTCCTAGGTGGACTGAGCTCTGTCCGATGATAGAAGCCAGGAAGAATCATGGACTGGTGTTTGTAAAAGACAAAATATTTGCCGTGGGTGGACAAAATGGCTTAGGTAATCTTAATTCTATTAGTTTTGTAGCTGGTCTCCCAGAGTTTTTTGTTGGGGCTTTTTGCTTGTGCTAAAAATTCATGGTACTCTATTCAGCTGCAGCATTGTGAGCAGTGCCATAAAACATGCTCTACTGCTGTCCCTGTATTGCTGCCTTCCTCCTTGCACCTCCCTGCCTTACTCTCTCACTTATTTTCAAGCTCTATTATTGCTGATAGTTTTAACAAAATCAGAAATGTGTGTTACCCAGTTCTGCAGCAGTTTAATATAGGTAAGCCAGTCATATGAAAAAAGGAAACCAGTCACAGGGAAGTTCAATTTGAATTTTAATTACATTGGATTTCTGAAATGCTTTCAAAAAATTAAAAAAAAATCTAGCTTTATTAATCATTATTTATGATACCATGAATCTAAAATCAGATATTCTACTTTTATTATGTACCTTGTAACTTAATTAGCTACTAGATCTCTTACAACATGATTGATTCCCAATACAAAAGTATCAGTAGATGCAACTCTTGCTGCTTTTTACGCAAAATTCTAGTGTATTGGCTGAATGCTTGGTGTAAAAGTGTGTATTATTGATCCAATACGTTAAACTATTTTGCTGTTTTTCATGTTCTGTGGCCTGATTGACTATTGGTTCTTATGGTGGCATAATGGGGAAAGGTTATATTTGGGATAGAATATTCATGTGTCTTAGGATCATAGAGATTTCTTGACCTTTGGGACCTAATAATTCAGGTATGGAAGTGAACACTCTTCTGGGTCTGAACTGCTACTGGCAAATATGGATAACTTAGTATTGCAGATATTGTGAAGCATTGTGATTACACTGCTTCGTAAAGAAGGAAGTCTTACGCAGTCCTAGTATCTATTTTTCTCTAATAATTCCCAACTCCACTGACCAGCTTCTGTCAAAGAAACTTAGGCCTGAGATTAAATTCCTTGAAGTTTAATTAAGAGAAACCTACTCTATTACCAAAATTGCTTATTTGGTTAAAGGTACTGATGAGTGACGTGAATAAAATCTGTGTGTAATGCCCCTTGGACACTGTTAGTTCCTCTTTGTGAAACGTGCTAAATCAGACTGTATTATATGAAATTTGTAGCAATAAATGTTTCAGTCTTTCTCTGCTGTTTCTGTATTTAAGCAAGCAGCTAATTTAGAAACCTCTAGCACTTACCTTCCTCCACCACACACACACAAACAAGTTGAATATTTTAGACTGCTTTTGCTGGTATGATCTGCTTTAATATAAACCTTTAAAATCATGATTTAGTTTTATGAAGCATATGCATGCTCAAGTTCCGCTTAGAGTGTATAATGTAATAAGCTCCAATCTATTTAATTGTTTTTCAGGTGGCCTTGATAACGTAGAATACTACGATATCAAGATGAATGAATGGAAGATGGTGTCTCCAATGCCGTGGAAGGGTGTGACAGTGAAGTGTGCTGCTGTGGGATCCATCGTCTATGTCCTGGCTGGTTTTCAGGGTGTTGGTCGATTAGGGCACATTCTTGAATACAATACAGAAACAGACAAGTGGATAGCCAACTCCAAAGTGCGCGCTTTCCCAGTGACAAGCTGTTTAATCTGTGTCGTTGACACTTGCGGCGCAAACGAAGAAACCTTAGAGACCTGAAGATACACAAGAGATACTGAGACTTCCTTCAAGGACGTGAGGAAAGATGGCCATGGTGCTTTGCTTCCATGTTCTATTGAATCTTGTTAAACCGAGTAATAGGAAAAAAATGGGATGCAGTCTTTGAAATTTGTATATACAGCATATTGTATAACTTGGATTTTGTCATGCCCATCTTATTGTCTGTTTAAGAGATGGGGATGTGTTTTGAGGATCTGCTTACCTAGAATCAAAACTTTTTTTGAGAATCCACAACATATGACATGACTCTGTGGCCTTGTCAAAAGTAGACACAATCCAATTAGAAGAATTTGAGGCATTTGGTGAAGATAAAGATTTCTGGCTGAATTATACTTTCCAGATCACAATTATGAAGAATCTTCCTTTAATAAAGGTGAGTAAACACAACCTGGGTCATGTGTAAATGAGAAGTTTGCTCATATTTTCTCAAGATTCTCACAAATCTTACTCAAATGCAGTGAAGACTTTGCTCAGGAAAGACCAAGGACAGCATTATAATGGATTAAGATTCCCATGGAGAAGGGGAATAGATTATACAGCTCCTTTCTTATAATAGTTGCCCTATTTCTGTGACTTTCTTCCCTTGCTTGCATGACTGCATATCAATTTTGAAGTTGGATGGCCTATTTATATATATTTATATATATAAAAAAAATAGATTAGCAAAACACTTTGCTAATGACTTCCTTGGCATTTTAGGGAGGTTTCACAAAAAAGACTCGTGAGCTGTCCCAGAACTAAACTTTCATTTCTCCATTATGTTGACGAGGGGGTGAAGGAGGCCCACACTAATTACGCACTGTAGTAGCGAGTTGGGAAGTTGGGGCACTGTTTGAAACTTGTCCAGAATGCAATACTGTTTCTTGGACCATTTTATGTATTGAAGATGTGTATTGATTAAAACTAATGAAGTGACCACTTGGCTCAGCATAGGGAACTTTTTATTTTGGAGCTGAAGACGCGAGTGAAGCAGAACACCTCCGTGAGGCTTGTGGCTCGGTACCTTTTACTCAATAAATGGTTTTTCTTCCCCAGCACTAGCAGCAATGTTTACTGCTCAGCCCCCCGCGCCGCTGGCCGCCCTTGCTGCCGCACCACCCCCCCG